TGAAATGGTGTATCTTTGGCTATGTGTATTTTCACCAAAAAGAAAAGGTTGATAAATTAGAGGGTTGACATGTTGTGGGGTTGTTAACCAATGTCATAAAACAGTATGTGTACTACCGTTTCCTGAGAAACTATTTGTACTGTAAGCCTTCATCTGAAGTACAATTAAAAAATAGAAAAGAAAAAAAAAAATTCCTGTATTGTAGTATACCAGAACAGTAAAAACATCTCATTTCATCCCAAATCTCTGCGTTGACTTGTTTAACATTACACAATTAGCACTTGAGAAAGCGTTAAATTTGTCTTTTGAATGACAATTCTTAAAGAGTCAGATATGCTTTTTGTTATGGCATTCTAATATCCAAAACCAGAAACTCAAGGAGGTTTGCATGTAGGTTGTTTTGCATACAGATCATTGGTTGTATTGAGTAGAGATATGTTAATTTCTATAGCATAGTATTTAGCGGCTACTTTAGGGCTCCCCGAAAACCAAACCAAACCCACTGTCATCGAGTCGATTCCGACTCATAGGAACCCTATCGGCCAGAGTAGAACTGCCCTATAGGGTTTCCAAGGAGTCACCTACTATTTCTTTCTGCTGTTGATGTGGTCAGCTCGTTCAGTACTCTTGGTTATGGCTAACTCTGATGGGCCTTGCTGCTTCTGTCTGGATCCTCACTCTTCTAGCTGTTTCTATCCTGTATCCCCTTTTTCACTGTGCACCATAGTGGGCATGAAACTTTTCTGTGAAGCATTCTTTTAGCAGCAACAAAACATTCTTCGCTTCTTGATATTTTAAACAGTTTTCTTCATGATTTCTTTTTTTCTCTCATATATACCTCTCTCCCAGGGACCCAGCTACAATCCCACAATGTTATGGGTGACTTGAAAGAAAAATCTAATCTGAGAAATTATGACAGGTATCAGTATTGCTTTCCCATTTCCATGATTAGTTTTCTTATACACTCACTGTCTCACAAGTGTGTGCAGAAATATGCACGTTTTTAAAATGAATTGAACATGTTATTTAGAGGAAATGTTGTTGTTAGTTGCTGTCCAGTTGGCTCCTACTCATGGTGACCCCATGTACAACAGAGTGAAATATTGCCCGGTTCTGTGCCATCTTCATGATTGTTGGTATGTTTGAATTCATTCTTGTACTACTGTGTATTTTGAGTAGCTTCCAATTTAGGGGGCTTGTCTTCTAGCACTGTATCAGACAATATTCTGTTGTGATGCAAGGGGTTTCATTGGCGAATTTTTCAAAGTAGATCACCAGGCCTTTCTTCCTAGACTGTCTTAGTCCAGAATCTCCACTGAAATCTGTCCACCATGGGTGACCCTGCAGATATTTGAAATACAGGTGGCATAGCTTCCATCATCATAGGAACACATAAGTTAGCACAGTATGAAAAACCAACAGATGGGTGGTGGCGGAGAAGATAGTATGAGTGATTTTTTTCAAGTCTTCATTTTTCAGTTAAGTAAAATAAGGGCCAGAGAGATTTAGGACATTTACCAACATCACACAGCTGTGACAAAAACTGAAACTTAGGTCCTCGAACTTCCATTCTCATACACATTCTTTTACTTGCCTTTCGGTTTGATTTAATTTTGAAAATTAAATAAATCAGGTGTGTGAACACTGTATAATTTGTGTAACACACAGCTCCTCTCCCTATTCTGGCCTCTTTGCTGCAGAGTGACTGAGCGAGCAGAGGCTTTGCTGGAAGGTATGAGGGGATTACAGACATGCCTGGGTCTGCCTTATGAACGTCTCTCTCCTCCCAGTAAGACATGGTCTAGTGTGTCTGCTGCTTGTGTATCATTTATTCCTACTCCTATGGATGGAAACTGGGAAGTTGCAAAATAGGGTCTTGAAAATATCTAAGTTGTCCAGCCTAGCTCAAAAACTAAGAGACCAAGCAAGGACTTGACAAGAATCAGCATCCAGGAAGAAAGAACATGTATTTTTTAAAGTGTCACCTGTGTTATCTACATTTATTACCTCATTAGGGGACAGATACATGGGTCTAGAAGAGAAGGGACTTCTAAGAGTGTTCATTAAAAGCTAAGTATGTAAATACGGCAGGCTCTGGATACATTATTTCTTTTCAAAATCAGAGATAGCATAAAAAACATTTCTGTGTTTGCACTTAACATTTCTCAAACCAGTAAGAAATATTAAAAGTTAAATTATTTCATATATGACTTTCTTTAGAGGTAGTTTTTGCAAAGAAAAAGAAAGACAGTACACTACACTTAGAATTCTTAAGGAAAGTATCAGTGCATTAGAGATCAAAAATCTGTTTCAAAGTTCTGAACAGTATAATTTTTAGCAGTTAGGTAAAACATGATTTGTAATTTGATGACATTTAGAATTTTTTTGACAAGATCTAAAAAGCTTTGTCTGCCAAAATCACATCCTAAATATATTCCTTGGTGACTCATAAGGCCTACTAGGCCTTTCTAATACATAAATTAATGCCTTATTTTTAGATGTTATGGTATAACCCTTGGAATATCTTTTTCTGATTAGTCTAAGATAAAAAAAAAAATGTTATTTTTATTCCAATGGAAATTTTTAATTGAGTTAAGGATGTATCACAACAAACCAAAATGGCATTAATCAGCATTTTGCTTTATTTTTTATCAAAAAGAGGATATCTTGTTTTCATTGTATGAATATGTCATTTTAATTCACACAATTTACCTAGTCATTCTGAATAATAAATTCCCTATAATTAAAATTATAAAGATATTTTAGTTTGGTTCAAAATCATAAATTCATAATTAGGGTAATTGTTATTTGCATTTTGAGTTACATAATCCTTTCTATCAATGAGACCATAAAAATAAAAAGCAGTGAAACTTTTTGTTGGGGCCCATACATCTCAAAACTGAAATCAGAAATGTTCTCTTAGACGGAAACCTCTGTGATCATCTATCCCATTTATTCTCTGACGGAAGTTGATTGAAGGCAGAATGCAGAACCATGTTGTTAGGCCTCTCCAAGTTGTTTTTTAATGTGGAAGTCCATATTAATCATTGATTTGGAATAAAGAATGTGGTATATCAGCATGCTACTTCAAAACCATTTGCATCCTCCTATCTTGTTTTGCCTTTTCTGCCTGAGTAAACACATTGTTAAATATTTAATTAATAGCGCAATCCAACTGGGACTTGTTTAGCAGTGAGGACAAAAGCATCTAACCACATTTGTAAAGTGAAAGATTGAAACTAAATCAGAATATTACTGCCTATATTTCAAGGCTGGTAAAGGTAAGCCTTTCAAAAAATAAAAGTTTGTTGTGAAGGATTATATGTAATTTTCAATACAATTCCAAATCCCTTTACTCTAAAATAGAATGAGCACCATAAGAAGTGGCATTACTGGTGTATTGCTCTAATTTTTCTGCCACACGAATCTTTCTCATCAAAGCCTCATTGCAGGGTGGGGAAGTATGCTGCCTGCTTCTGAAGAGCAAATTACAAACAAAATTCTATCTGACAGCATGTGGCTGTAGAAGAGACTGCACTTTTTTTATACACTCCCTGGATAATGAGTTTCAGATTACTTTGTACTTTTGAAAAAAGACTCAAGTTAAAAGTATCTTTGCTTACAAGGCTATATTTAAAATTTACGTAAGAAGCTTCACAGCAGAGAGCTCTAAGGGTGCTATTCTCTCTCATTTATTTAAAAATCTGTTCTAAAATACTACTTCTTTCTGCATATATATAGAAAACTTGAAATAGTTATATTTTACATAATGCTCACCACAGAGTATCCATATGATGATCTCAAATAAGATTTTTAGAACAAAAAGACGTGCTGAATATTAACAAAGCTTAATCAGTTATTCTATGTGCTTGTAAAGGAGAATCCTCTTTAGTATCACTACTTGTGAAAATGAGGCTTCTCACAGATGCTGGAGGTTGCCTCACTGAGATTTGAAAATGCATAATAATCCCATATAAGCGTGTGAGAGTTTTCTCCAAACAGCAACTCACAGAGGCTGCTGTTGGGCAGTATATGCAGAAACCAAAAAAATTAGAGCCTTGAGAAGCAAAAGCGTTACAGGGTTTTTCATTTGGTTTCCTTGAACATAAACTGTTAAACATAATTTCTCTTCTATTCCTTCCTGTGGGGGTTGATACAGAAATTCACTGAGGGTTCCATGAATGTTATTCAATCAATGCTGGCAGATATTTTTACCTAACACTGCCTCATTCCTTTCGGTGAAGTTGTTTACATCATTTTACCATCTGCAACAGAAACTCTCCAGCCTTGGGTTTCTCGCAGTAAGTTTGAGAAGTTATCTGCGATGGAACCACAGTGCTGGTTGCTGAAATCCAGATTTCTGCGCCCACCCAAACTCACTGAGTTGGAATATCTGAGGTCAGTTCTCAGAATCTGCATTTTTATAAACATCCAAAAAAATACCCTGCTAAAATCTGATGACCACTCTGCCTAGTGCTAAATTACTCCGTTTCAAGATTAAGCTTCTCTAAACCTCTCTCTCTGTTTCTTTGTCTCTCTGTCCTACACACACACACAAACACGCATGCACTGCACACGGACAATCTTAATATTCTCTTGCATTGGTTCCTGCTACTGTATGATATCATATAGACATAAATTATATTGTGTAGAAGTTTTGAAACATTTGCAAAGATTTAGAGATCCATTGCAATAGAGACACTTACGACAGTAATTGACAGGAATTAATGATAAAAAAAAGAAGTAGCAAGTTACTATTCCTAAGTATTTCTTTGAATTTCATTTTATCTTGAATAGTACTCACTGATTTGTTTCTAATAAAAATCAATTAACATATCATTTGGAAAATATGATGGTGATAGCTATCTATGATAGCTATAACACTAGACCAATGTTATATCTCCCTCATGAATAAAACGAACACTTATTCAACAATGCAATGCACCTTGGTTACCACATGGGAAAAATTATAGCATTAAGAAAAAGCCAAGGAAACTCACCACTTCTTTATGTCTGCATTTTCTCACATTAATTCCATTTATCTGCAATGCAAAGGAAAGCATAATTTCACATGGTATATTGTAAATGGAGTTTACATTTGGCTGCACATAGAAAATAATGATAAATGTATACCTGTAGAATTGCATCCCCAATAAAGAGTAATCCTGAAAGTTCCGCTATGAATGAAAAAGAGCAACTGATTATGCATCAGTTATTTTCATACAATTACGTTTCCCAGTTAAATAAAGGCAAAACATATAAAAGAGACAAAAATTCGAGTATTTTTGTATTGTTAGCATTCTAAAAGTTTCACCAGGAATGGAAATTCAAAAGCAGTCATATGACTTAGTACACTTCAAAGCTTGAAACTCATGCACAGATGTTTCTCTTCAGTTCTACCATTTCAGAGCTTGCAGTTGCCAAAAATCTGGTCATTCTTCCAAATGAAGGGTTAAATGGCTTCATGCTTTTATAATTCTGAGAAGGTCTCTGTAGAAGTTCGATACCTGGATATTCAAACTATCAGCTGTGGATTCAGCCCTAAGTTTAATTTTAATCATTGGATTTCTTTGCTGATTTCAGTCTACGAAACAGTTACTTTGTGTCCTCATTGCTTTTCCTAGGTCAAATTTCATATGAAGGTCTAACTGAGTTAAACTTGAAGACAAGAACTAAAAAGGAAAATTCACAGTTGTCTTTACTAGAGGTGACTTGCATCCTTAGTTTCATTGTTTAATGGAACAAGTGGATAGTTACTCAACCCGTAATCCATACAAGGCCACGTGCTTTCTCTTGTTTTATCCTTGCTTTGCTCTCAGAGAGAAGTGCTTCCATGAGTGATAAACAGCACAGATTCTAGAGTCACACGAGGACACTTACTGCCCAGCCATGCGGGACTGAAGCAAGCCAATTACACCCTAGTTCATACTTCTTAAAAATCATCTAATTCTTCAAAAAGTCTGCTTTATGAAGTAAGGCTACTATGTAATTTTCCAAATACTTTACCTCTTTGCTCCTTGGAGATTTTTGAAATGACAACAGGAATGTTATGTTCTGCTCCCCCCTGGAAAGATTAAAAAAAGTACACATTGTATTTTTTAATATAAAGAAACTCTACAGATTATGAATAGCATGTTAACCGAACACCAACCAGAATTTAGACATACCTGCGGAATTTCTGCACTAAGAAGATAATGTTTTCTTGAAGTTTATCTCCCTGTCTAGAATTTCAATGTGACATCCAATAATCAATAGCAGTTGACTTTAAAATTTTTCACTTAAAAAAAAATTAGTAATGTCTTTAAAACGGTGTTCTCTTCAATGTTTAGCAATGCTATCCATTCTAGACATTCTTATTTAAAATCCCAAATTTTGACTATGCATTTACATTATCTGGCCAACTTATTCTAATCTGGTGAGCCTAGAACATTCAAAGATGCAAGAAAGACCCCTTAGGATGTGAATTGACCAGAGGAGATCTTGAATGACACAAATGAGTGAGCACAATCAGAATGTGGGCATCATGGGGAAGGGACTCACTTGGATTTCCTTAGTTAGTATAAGATTCCTCTTTGTGTGTTAGCACATCCTAAACAATTAGCAGAATAAAACAAACTGGCTGGAATATTGCAGAAGTGCTTTGGTCTCATTGATCGAATGAGATATAAAGAAAGAAAGAAAATTAAGTAAATTAACTTAGGTAGAGGAGAATCATATAAATTCTTGAAATAATTGTATACAAACCATTTTTCTATACTACAGAGAAAAAATTTTGAAAACAATATTTGAAAACTAAATTAAGTACATTAAAGAGTAAGATATTATGTAGAAAAGAAACAGTACTTTAATAAAGGAGGATAGAAAAGACGATATAGATTCCATTGTGGTTTCTCTATTTTCTAGAATAAGTAAACCTCCTAAGCTTCCAGGCGCCCCAGAACAAAAATTATTTTGAAAAAGACATTTTGCCTGTTAATACCAATGTTTAATACTGAGAGCTCAGGCTGCTAACCAAAAGGTCAGCAGTTCAAATCGACCAGCCACTCCTTGGGAACCCTATGGGGCAGTTCTACTCTGTCCTATAGGGTCACTATAAGTCATTATCAACTCTGCAGTGACAATAGCAATGCAATTAATACAAATATAAGGTAGGCAATACTGAGAAAAGTAGTGATATTCCACTTTTTCTTAGCAATTAGTGTTTCCTACTTCTATATTATTAAGAAGAAACATGGTAAATTAAATGTCAAAAACTTCTACTCAGACTGAAGTTCGAACCGACTGCTCTTCTCCCCTTTTCTCATCTCCCACCAACCCAATATCCAAGTACCTATCCCTCATAAACTCTGTGAAGAAAATCTTTGACAGAGGCTAAAATGGCTTCTAATTCTGGCTCTATCTTTTAGTCTATATATCCCCAGACAAGCATTGATTCTGTCTACAATGGATTCGTATGGATAAAGGTGATCATGATTTGTGACTATGCGGTACAATGAATTAGTTAATATGGCCCTTCTAGCCATGGTGTTTGTAACTCACACACAATGATTGAGTGGGACTATGCAAATAAGGTATATGGAACCTGTGATAGTTGGGGTTATGTGTCAGTTTGATAGGCCATGATTCCCAATATTGTATAGTTGTCCTCCATTTTACATGTTGTGGATCCTGACCTCCACGTGTTGATAAGGCAGGACTGGTATAGGGTGTGTCTTAGGTCACAGACTTGCAGGAGGGCATGACTCAAGGCCCACCCTTACTAAAGTTACACCTTTTCCTGGGGTGTGACCTGAATCTAAGATATATGTGTGTGTCCTGGTGAAGCTTTCTCTCTCTCTGAATCTGGATCCTGCGTCCATTCGTGATCAATTGACCTCCCCAGAGGCCTGCTGTCTAACTTGCCAATTCTGGGATTCACCAGCCTCCATAACCCCCTGGGCTGGCGGCCTATCATGTGACCCGATTTGCCAGCTTCTGCAGCCTTGTGAGTCAGCATCCTGTGGTCTGAACTGCTGGTTTGGGTTCATGAGTCCCTGCAGCCATGTGGGTTGGGAGAAGCCTATGCCTGACCCACAAATGTGGGATTTGCCAGCCTTCACAACTGTGTGTGCTATTTCCTTTATAAGGTTAGTGAGTTCTGTGAGACTTTGAAGTGAATTAGGGAACACAAAGACAGGAGGGAGAGTACTGACGGGAGAGGGAGTAGTTGATGTTAGAGACAATGGAGTGGAACAGGACCTTGGAAAAGTTGGACATTTGTGACAGCTGTAACCTCCACCTCACATGAACCAGCTTTGGGCTGATACTTATAAAAGAAATTATGAGACTGAGAGTGTGGAAAAAATGCATAAGGGACACAATGGATGGAGAGTGCTTATTTAGCATGCAACAAACACTAAATAAAAGGAAGTTGTTACCATAATCTATGAAGATGTATAAGTAAAATTAAAATGGCAAATAAGATTAGGACAAATCGGTTTGAAGACCCTTAATAAGACTCCAAATTGACAATCTTCTATATTCTATTCTTTTCTGATTATAGTTATCAGCTTTTAACAGAATATAATATTTATTCATTTATTATAACTATTGTTTATTGTTTTTATCCTTCCCCCATCCTAAGTTAGAATGAGGGCATTTTTTAGTAGATTATTTTGTGCATTGACGTACTGTATTTTTACACAAATAACCCACGCCTTCTACATTTACCAATCACGCTCCCCCTGAAGTATTTTCATAAGTGTACTATACCAATTTTTTTTTACAACAACATGTAAAAAAAAAAAATATTGGGACAGTGCACTCATGAAAACTACCTCACAGGGGGAGGGAGCAGTAGGCAAACAAACCTAGAAGGTGCATGTTATTTGCGTAAAAATACAGTAACCTCAGTGTATGAAATAATATCTTCTGTATTTAAATGTGTGTTGAATACATTTATACAAGAGTGAATAAATGAAGTCTAAGACTTTTCCAGACCCCAAATTGTTTTATTCTTTAAAATACAATGCAGAATGATTTTGTGTCAGAGGTAAGAAAATGTGTCTCCCTGAGTCAGGACTTAAATGACAGAGTTTCAGATGAGAATCAAATAATGTGGCTTGCTTTGCTCAAAACAGCTAGTCAGTCTTCCACTACACTTAGAATGAAGACCAAAACCCTTAACAAAGCGTCCTGCAACGTGACCCCCCACCCCCTCGGCAGCTTCTTCCTGACCTTCCCCATAATTCTCTGTGTGCCTGGAATGCTGGTCTTCTTTTTGTTCCTAGAAAATGCCATGTTCCCTCATCATCTTGAGGGCTTCAGGACTTAACGTACACTGTTCCTTCTGCCTGGAATACCTCGTTTTAAACAGGTAAACATCTACTTTAGATTTCAGTAAAAGGTCCCTCCCTTAGTGTCTTTACTCAGGGCAATTCAGTTCTGTAGCACTGGCCATGGTTATAATTTACATTTATTTATGCAACAATTTGATCAATGTAGCTTGTAAATGGCCTGAGGTCAAGGCAGGGTTTCCTTCACCATCTTCTCCCCAATACATCCTGTGCCAGAAGGTGTGGCTCATAATCATTGTTTGGGGAACAATTGAATGAACTGTTATTCCAGCTCATTGCAAAGTTCAAGGTTAAGGGAAGTGAGGCAAAGTTATAAAGCGCTTTCCAGATAAGATTAAAGCATACATTATCATATTTTGTAATATTCTATTTACATAGCTAATTTTGTAGAAAACAGGATATAAAGGGTCGCAACTAAAGCATTTTGAGCAGGATTCTGTCCAATGATTATCCAAGTATAACTGTGAAATATCATTGAATCAAACCTAGACTTTTTTAAAGCATTGGGAATCTTGCCAAATCAATCTTTTCAGTATTTTAATCAGTCAGTCAATGATATGCTGGGCTTGGAAATGAGACGCAGAGACCACACCATGACCCTTCCATTTACAGTAAGAAAAATTCTTGTAAACAGATAATTATAAACCTTAAGAATTAAGGAACTGCAGTGGACAGATGCTGGAGTGACACCTAAACGGTATCACCTGAGGAGAGATGGGCAGATATCATTATCTTTCTGAATGCCAGGTCCATCTCCCAAAATCACTGTGTTTTGGCAGACTAAGTATTTCAAGTGATAACTGGCCGGTGGTTTGAACTGATCCTTGGGACTAATCCAAAATCTAAACACTAAAGCTTATTAACTATCTTTCCATTTCTATAATGGAAGAGAATGTATCCATTTTGTCTATGACAGCAACAAATGAATCAAACTCAATTAAAAAGAATAAGGATACAAAAGCATGAGAAAACTGTGCAAATGTGTGTGTATTTTTATAATATAACCAGCTGTTATTTAATTATTTTTTCCCAGACCAGAAATCACTAATAAACTTAAAGCCAGAAATTTATTACAGCTATTGTGAATATATATCTTTATCTGGCAAATTTGACATTTTTTTTTTTTTTTTTTGAAATGGTAAGTATTGGGATGGTCTGACCAAGAGGGAACGAGTTTTCCCGAAGATCCAGATGACAGAGGATGCATGAGGGAAAAGAGATGTGAGAAGCAAAGCTGAGAGTGAAGGGTCAGAAAATGCCTATAGAAGTGGGTGGTTCAACTCAGAAACACAAGGTAGGGGCCGATAGGCCATGTGCAAAGTAAATACTAGTAGGGAGTCATGCAGAACAATTTAGATAGATTATACTCCAGCTAGCCTGATGAGTCTGATGAGTTTCAATCTGAGAACAGAGAGAAGGATATGTGATCATATCTGGGAAGTTTAGTGACTATTTTGTCCAGTTTTTGCAATAAAACCTTTTTTAAAAACTTGGCTGAAGGGTAACAAAATGTTCTTTTCAGCCAGAAAATAACTAAAATATTCTAACACATGGTGCTAGAAGTTGAAGCAAACCTGCATGCTCCTGACAAATTTTGGCTCCTGAGACTTTCCTACCACTAGTAACTTAGTGAGCTCCATGATTCCTCAGCTTCCCCACATTGCAGCCAATGCTGCAGAAGTCAAAAGACAGTAGGCAGTGTTATAGAACAGGGTCCCATGTGGGTTTT